CCCCTCCACCTCCTTCCTTCCTTCCTTGAGGAAAGGAAACACAAGCCTGATCTTGTCTCCAGCCTTGTAAATCTTGGTGGAGGGAACTTCTTCTTCTTCTGCGACTGTGAGGCAACACAAGCCCTCCCCAATAAGGACGGCCTTGTTGCCCTGGTCATCCCTTCCCAGAATCTCTGCAGCTTCCTCAACAGCAAAATCCCAATCGGACAAACCCAACCAAGCTTTTGCTATTCTCGCAAAAGGCTTCTTCACCCACGAAGAAGAATGCTTCAAACCAAGGTGTGACCTCACCTTGTCGACGTTCACAATCCATTCCCCAAAACGCGGCGGGAAGGGCTTCCATCCGGTGCCAGGCTCCGCCAAATCCTTGCGCCCCATTCTAAAATGACAACCCTAAACTTGCAAATTTATAGAGATTTGAGGTTGCTACTGGGTCATGCATACTATTCTCCCCATGACAGGCTTCAGATACTCCAGGTGCCCAGCAGAGTACGAATGATCCTTTATGCTTTATGTCTTAAGAGACTTACTGGAGCGGTATGTCTCGAATTGTACTTGTTTCATTCTTTTTTCTGTTTTTTATTCTTTTGGAATAGGTGATCAAGTGATTGTACACTTGATTCTTAGACAAATTTTGTGCACCTCATCTGAGTGGCTTTGCTCAGTGAATGCTGAAGATGCTGTGGAAACTGAATGTGTCTGTGCATTTTCCTGAGGACAACCAGTGGATGGAAGAGCCCCATTTGAAATTTTTGAGACTAGACAATTTGACAAAGTTACTTTTGATTTCACTATATATATGTATGCATAAAGAGGTGGGCTTTCTATCTATCCTCCCATTATCTTTTAGTCTTCTTACTCCCTGCCCCACTCTGACTGCTCGCTTGAGGTAAGTATGCTATGATCTTGTCCTAAAGCAAAATTAAGCATTTGGGCATCTAAGGGCCTTTGTGGTTCTCTAGTATCTTAATAACTATTGACTAACAACCTTTACTGAGCTAAAGGGAATTAACACCTCCATTTCCACACTAAATCTACAAATCTAGTATCTTGGTAATTATTGATTAACAACCTCTACTGAGCCAAGGAGAACCAGCACCTTTAATTCAATCCAATCTACTAATCCTTCCATTGTGTAGACAAATTATTCCATATGAGGCAACACCCGTGTGTGGTAGTCATATGTACCGTAGTCGCACAATGAATACCTTTGTCCATGGATAATTCACATAAGAGGGTAATTATTGACTAACAACCTCTACTAAGCCAACACCTCCATTTCTGCACTAAATCTACCAATCCGGTATCTTGGTAACTTTTGATTAACAACCCCTATTGAGCCAAGGGGAACCAGCACCTTTAATTCAATCCAATCTACCAATCCTTCCATTATGTAGACAAGCTATTCCATGTGGGTAACTATTAGCTAACAACCTCTACTGAGCCAGCACCTCCATTTCTACATTAAATCTACCAATCCGGTATCTTGGTAACTTTTGACTAACAACCCCTATTGAGCCAAGGGGAACCAGCACCTCCAATCCAATCCAATAGGCAACACCCATGTGTGGTAGTCACATGTACCGTAGTCCCACGGTAGATACCTTCGTCCGTGGATACTTTACACAAGAGAGTAACTATTGACTCTATTTCTGCACTAAATCTACCAATTCGGTATCTTGGTAACTTTTGACTAACAACCCCTATTGAGCCAAGGGGAACCAACACCTCCAATTCAATCCAATCTACCAATTTTTCTATTGTGTAGACAAGCTATTGCATGTGAGGTAACACCCGTGTGTGGTAGTCACACAGTGGATACCTTCGTCCGTGGATACTTCACAACCCCTATTGAGCCAAGGGGAACCAGCACCTCTAATCCAATCCAATCTACCAATCTTTCCACCAATCCGGTATCTTGGTAACTTTTGACTAACAACTCCTATTGAGCCAAGGGGAATCAACACCTCCAATTCAATCCAATCTACCAATCTTTCCAATCTACCAATCTTTCCATTGTGTAGACAAGCTATTCCATGTGAGGTAACACCCGTGTGTGGTAGTCACACAGTGGATACTTTCGTCCATAGATACTTCACAACCTCTATTGAGCCAAGGGGAACCAGCACCTTCAATCCAATCCAATCTACCAATCTTTCCATTGTGTAGACAAACTATTCCATGTGAGGAAACACCCGTGTGTGGTAGTCACAGAGTGGATACTTTCGTCCTCTATTGAGCCAAGGGGAACCAGCACCTTCAATCCAATCCAATCTACCAATCTTTCCATTGTGTAGACAAACTATTCCATGTGAGGAAACACCCGTGTGTGGTAGTCACAGAGTGGATACTTTCGTCCATGGATACTTCACAACCCCTATTGAGCCAAGGGGAACCACACCTCCAATCCAATCCAATCTACCAATCTTTCGATTGTGTAGACAAACTATTCCATGTGAGGAAACATCCGTATGTGGTAGTCACACGGTGGATACCTTCGTCTGTAGATACTTCAGAGAAGAGGAAAGATGTACGCATGGATGCTCAATACATATGATTTCGGCAATGATGAATACCTTTGTCCGTGGATACTTCACACAAGAAGAAAGACATACGCATGGATGCTCAATACATATGATTTCAGGTAGGAATACCTTGCTCAAGGGTATATTATACTTTTAAATAGCCACTAATCAATATAAATAGCCACTAATAAATGGGAATTGAACCTATGCCATTTGCTTTGATACCACATGTAATGCACCTTATCTCTCTCCCCTTAAGCCAACTGAAAAAGGGATGATTGCTTGATGAGAGAGCCCTTAGTGGCTATTTTATCCCTATTTATCCCTCAAGGTTCCAAGGATCCACGGTGACAGTATATCCAAATTTCATCCCATAATTACATGCACTACAAATACCCTTCTTGATACTGCTGGGAAAGAAAAAGGCTAAAAGAGATAATTCACCAGTTAGATTAACCAATAATATAGTATGTCGCTATTTGCTGTAGCAATTTCCCATTGCCTATGTTTTTGGAAACCACTCGAATTTGTAATCCCCACTCAACCTTAGTAGAATAAAGTCTAAGCTAAAAAAGAAAGATATGTTTGTCTAAGAAGACTCAGAAAAACTTTTACTTGCATCAGATATATATAGGCAACCACTACCTGGAAGTTTTCGGCTGGGATAAGCCTACCATCTCATGACTCGAAATCCAAACCTTCTCTGCTGATTTATACTTTCTCATGTTTCGAAAACATAAATACAATAAAAGAATAATGTTTGGAAGGCTAAAAACCTGGCCAACATCCCAAGATTTATGGCTCATGTGCTTGTAAGTGAGTAGGAGAATGTTGGTACAAACAACAGCACAGCGGCCACGCTTGTCACTCACTTCATCGACCATGAATTCTAGTGATTGCCAATAAACCTTAAACCGTAACAAAATCGAGTGCGAGGTAATGAGGTCTTTCTCTAGGATGCATCCTTGATGACTCTGTTCTTCCATGCTGTTTTTTTTAGAGGTTTAAGGATTTTTTTAGAGGTTTTCTCTTATTTTCACTTGTTTTTTCTCCATTTTATCTCTTTTTGTTTTAGTATCTAGTTCTTTTGTCAACTTCTCCCATATGGTTTCCTTTTAACTCTAGAACTCAACACTTTCTTTTTTCTTCATCTTCTCTTTTCTTCGTTTTTCTTTAGTCTTTTTTCCTCACAACAGTTGTCAACACAGGGCATCATATTGGAGTCTACACCAATACTTAGGCCTTGTGTTCTCTACAACAGAGTTAACACATTCTTTAGATGGTTAGAGTTGAGCAAGATTCTCTAAAATATAAAAATATCTCTTTATGAACTCTCTGCCCTAAAAAATGGGGAATATACCCCTGTGCCCATACCCTTAGAATATTCAAACAATAGAGAGTTGGATTTTAGAGTATGATAGAGTGTTTTTCCCGCTGTTGAGAGGCTTCCTTCTCAACATTAACATAACAAACTAGTATGTCATGGATACCCTTGGCTATCTGTAATGGGATTAAACATGTGTTACACTCGCTAAATTCAAAGTCTATATAGAATTATAAATTTGTATAGTCTAGTAAGCTTATTGGTTATATGGCCATTCCTCCAAAGACTAATGATGCTTGAATATGTCTAGGATGACTTGGCAATTTAGCCTACTTAAACCATGATCTATTTCATTTAGCCTTGATGGTGGCTGCTCCTTTCAAGTGAGTAACCCAAGAACCTTCTTCTTTTTCAGCTTCCTCTCAACAATTAGACAAAAATCCCTCAAATCCACTATACTTTCCCATCACTTACAAATTGCCCTTAATCCTCTAAGACCATATTGGGACAGAATATACAGTAGACACACACATGTATAGGGATACAATACTTATATACTCCTTGCTTTCACAAGTCACGGTAGTGACTATGCTTCAACAGGGATTAACAATTTCTCATAAGGACAAATAGATTTTGGAGGGAGGAACTTATACAAGAATTCCATGATCAAGAAATAAAGCATCACAGCAAGGATATCCCCAAGGCTAGTACATGCCCTACATATGGTCAGCTTTGGCTGGAAGTTGAGGGCAGTGGTGTTTGCACTCTTGATGTTTTTGTTGTGGTTGGCTGCAATAGGTATGCATCATTAGATTAGTTTCCCGATGACAACACTAACAATCCCTATGGGACATTGGGGAATGTTCATATATATTTAACCATTACAATCACTTCATCTCCCTTCCTGGGAATGTAGGTCAAATGGCTTTTGGCCTGCCATGGTTGTGGTCACCAAGATTGTCCTGACATCCATTCAAACAGGAAAAATCGTCGCAAACTGTGTCATCTCATCTACGAGCTGATGCTTTCTGTGTACCTGAACAAAGACAACATGCCGACCTATAAAAGTCTATGTGCTAGAATTCATCCAACGGTTCATGATATGTCAGAACTACTTAAACAGCAGCCACGCCATATTCTCGTTTAAACCCGGGGCATGAAGCGCCCGCGACGGCCACTGGAGCTGGAGGATGGAATCTCAGATGCCGACGACGACGACGATGTTGGGCGCAAGGCAAGCACGAGGTAGCTGCATTTCCAGTGATTCTATTCTTCATTTCTAGCGATCATTCTCTTCCAGGGTGGATTCTAGCCTTGATCCGATCGATAGTGATACCACGTCCGAGGTAACGAGACATAGCCTGGCCCTTCTCTTTCTTCTCCTCTCATTGATTGTTTTTCTAGGATGCATCCTTGACCAATCTTTCTGTGCAAGAGCTTCAAGAGTTTAGCAGCGACGGCGGTGATCTTCCGGCAGAAACCTCGTCAAAGTTTAAGTCAGTGGCTCTTCCATGCCGTCCTTGACGTTTCTTTGATTCGTAAAGGTTTGAAGCACTCTTGGCACAACTGGGAGGGCGCCACAATCACTTGAGCTCAGACATGAAACCAGCTGGTATGTCTTTCCCTGTTTTGTTCTCTTCGACATGATCATGGTTCCTTGCTTTAGATGGTTCTCTCACTTTACGAGTGCTCGAGAAATCGTCGCCTGAGGCACATCTCACATCCACAAAGTGCGAGGTTTTGGAGACCTTCGAAGCTGTCACCGCTATTTTCGACAGCCTTTCTCCCGATGTACAGGTCGGATGTGTTGTATCCATCCATCCTCCATGGGAAGGAAAGATCTTCGCTGAGGACAGTCTCTCTAATTTTGTGCCGTTTTTATTTTCAACCCAGGCACGAAGTAGCGAGTGTTAAAGGACATGGAAGAGTACTTCTCGTTCCTCGTTTTGAGCTTCTCTTGGCCCAAAAGGACGTGGATTTCCCTTGAAAGTACAGTCGAAACTTCTCCTGCTGATTTTTTATTTTTATTTTTATTTTATGTTTTGTTTCAGGCTAACGTGAACGCACGTCCTTTGACACAGTAACAAAAAAAGTCTTGGTAAAGACGACTTGACGAAAAAAGCAAGTTCGACGATCCTGCCACGCCAGTCAATGATACACACTGACCTTGAAACTCTCTACGAGCCCCGCGTGGATTGCGAGATCATTGGCCGTCGCCGTCAACTAGCCTGAACATCCAAAAGCTCTAAGACACATCGAATTTCCGAACTCTCTACGCATCCTTCGAAGAGTCAAAGCAGGCAGCTTCTTCCCGCTTATTTAAGCAGACCAAGCAATGTGCTCGACTCACAGACTACAACAATGGCTTCGCTTTCCGTGAATCAAGTGAATGATTGGCTCAAGGCTCAAGAAATTACGCTCTCTCTGGATGTGGTAGCAGCTGCAAAATCACAGTTGGAGTTCCTTTCGCTGGTACATGCCAATTTCAAGCTGTTTGAGAGGCCTGTTCTGGAAAGGGCAATTGAGAGGTGAGATATTTACTTGTTTGATCTAGTTTGCTGATTTCTTCTTGGATTCTAGGTACCAGTACTGCTGCCTTCCGCTGCTAGCAAATTCTTCTGGGACTTTTGTCCCGCCACTCGACTGCGGCTGGATATGGCATTGCCATCGCTTGAATCCTGTGAGTGTGGCTATTCATTATCTGTCCACTTCAATCTACTAAAGTTACGTGTCTGACTAGGTTCAATATGCTGACGACTGTAAGAGATTGTTCGGTAAAATTGTGGAGGGACCTTCTTTGGCGAGGCACAGAAATGATCTCCAACAAAGCGCCAGTACATGGGCTTCGAATTTTCCAGACGAACCATACACTCTTGACATTTACGCGATATACCGAAAGACCAACCAATATCTTTTATGACTTGGCAGAAGCAGCTCTCAGGCAGAAAAGTTTCTACTATCAGGCAAGTGATGATCTTTCCTTGGAAGCAAATTAACTTTGAGTACGCAGGTTTCTGAGCCGCATTACCTGGACGAGAGCTTCTTGGTAGCTGCTGTTGCACGTTACAAGGCGTTTCTCCATCTCGTACGCACGTCTGGCACATCAACATTTTTCGTTCCCACTTACGACATCGATTTAATATGGCATACACATCAGCTTCACCCTGTGAGCTACCACAACGATCTCACACAGGTACTGGGAAGGATCTTCGAGCATGACGACACAGATAGCAACCGAGATTCCGGAGGAAAACTGGACAATGGATTCACAAAGACTCGATCTATGTGGGAAGACACGTATGGCCTTCCATACGAGAAAGCAGGGTGCATGTATAGAGGGGAGCCACCAGCATCCATTCCCGGAACACGTGCTTATGATCCAGCCAAGCTCGCCAGGCTCGCTAGTAAAAACGATTATGACTTGGCTGAGCGAAAGACCATTCAGGTATTGGAGTTCGCAGTCTTATTGTCAATCTCGTCTGATCCGATTCTATTCGATTTATGCAGGTTCATCTCTCCGTAAGAGGTACCAGAGGTTTGCCAGACGATAGGACCATCTACTACGTGATAAGCTCGTTAAACCATCAAAAGTATCTGAATCTCGAGAGCCAACGAGGGAAGGCTTCCTCTCATCTGAGCGTAGTCTCAACCATAACAGCTGAACTCTCCACCGAAGGGCTGGTGCTCGCAGTTCGACAGAAGCGCTTTTTGATATCCAAAACCGTGGGCCTGCTCCTGATTCCATGGAAAACTGTCATCCGCTCGGAAACGCAATCACTCAGCGGCTGGTTTCCATTGCTGGAGACAAAGAAGGACCGAGAAGTGTCGGTGCTGGTTTACATCTCCGTTACTCCTCCAGTCACTGCGCCTTATCTCTTCAGAAGCGTGAGAGTGAGAGACACGGGAGACGACTGTGCCACTCACAGCCTCCACAGTCACAGAGAAGGCATGTGGATAACAAGGAATGTTTTCGACCACACCGTTGCAGGTTTGCAAATTGAGCCACTTTTTCTAGAACTAATGTGGCAACTTTTGCTTTAGATACAAGGGTGGGGGGCTTTTGCTAAGGAGCATTCTCGACACCGATAAAGTTATCCATGTTCACAAAGGAGGGTGGACATACGACGGTTCTTACAACACTGGCTCCGTAAATGGTATGAGCATCTTCTGGACATGTTTTGCAAAAGATTTATGGTGTTGCTTTGTTTTCTCAGGTGAAATTCTAGGATCTGCATGGCAACTAGACAAACCATCTTCAGTGTCTAGGAGATGGTCTCTAATGAACGGGAAGGCTATTTTAACTGTTAACAGAGATGTCAAGGATAAGCACTGGAACATGAAACCACAGCTCCGCGTTGAAATGAAATCCCACGACTGTCCGGTGAGTTCGTCTGCATATATAGTGGTACAGATTCTCTGATATAGTGGCTGATTCTCTGGAAAACTTGATTGTAGATCATGCTCTTCTCGGGGCGTCACCTGGAATTTGCTGTTCCTGGTGCATCCGAGCGACAGGAAGCGTGGTTTGTGACAATGGTAAGATTCACAAGAGACGCTCCTCAAGGCAAGGCGACAGCTCTTTTCAACTGGCGGTCTGGTGGCATGCAGGTAGACTTTAATCGAAGTTTAGCTCCAATTTTGTGATTTGATTTGTCTCAGGTTGATCGCAATGAGGATGTGCTGCTTGTGCTTCTTTTATCGGCAACCATAAGCATGTCCGTGTCGGATATGCTCGGCAAAGCCATTCCTTCGTGGACGAGGACGAGTAAACGAGTGATCGTCTCAGAAGAAGAACAAGATCATTGGGGTGAGAAACAAGTTTCTTTGCACGCAAATTCTAAGAACATTGCTGCTTGACCAGGTGCTGTGACAGTTGATCGCCGTCGCCGCGACGGTGGTGACGGTGGTGACGGTGGCGGTGATGTTGGTTGTGGTGATGGTTGTGATGGTGATGGCCAGTGCTGGTATGACGAAGGTGGTTCGTATTGTGGCGGAGGTGGTGGTGGCGGAGGCGGGTGTGGCATCAGCGGAGGTGGGGGATGTGGTGGAGCAGGAGGTGGCGGAGGGGGAGGAGGAGGTTGTGGAGGAGGTGGCGGAGGCGGTGGTGGTGGGTGTGGCGGAGGAGGAGGTGGTGGAGGCGGTGGAGGCGGTGGTTGTGGTGGCGGTGGCGGGGGGGCCGGCGGCGGCGGCGGCGGCGGGGGTATTTAGATGTTTATAAATCGTGTTTTTTCTGCCTGATTACAAACAGCTTTATTTATTTAAAGAAATTCATTTTATGCTTTTGTTTCTTGCCGCTTTTGCCTATATAGCAACACACCCAACAAAGATCCCGGCTTTCTGCTCCTCGCAACAGACTACAGTGTTGGAGCACTGATTCACAGCGACAACATTAAAGCACTTGAGAATGTCTGCGTCAATCTCTACAGGAATTCCTTCAGAAGCGTCAATGTCGTTGCAACAGAGTGTGGTACCCTTGTTACATACTTCTGTTTCTGCGGATGCAGTGTGCGTAAGGCATGCTGCCAGGACAAAGAACGCAAGAACAAGCTGAGTAGAGGAAGCCATTTCACTGTTCCTTTCCTGGAGTTAGAGGGTCTTTAAATAAGGGCTGGCTTGTATGATCAGATGACTTCTTCAACATTGTCACCTTTGCAGCTTTAGCTGATTCATGGATGCACGCCATTTGGTCATGCCATCCGCGAGCTCAACTTGACTGACAGTGTTCCATTTGTTGAAGTGTTCCTGCTCATTTCAATCGTTTACTTCCAAAGCTTCACTGCAACCATGAGAATTTTCATGAGGTTTGAAGGTGATGCTTGAGTGTGAGTGTCACAAAATGGCCAGTTGCCAGGGACTTTTTAATTTACAAGTCTGTCAGTCATAAGTTTTTTCCTGGGAATCTTCCTTTTGAGGATGATCACCACAATTGACAAACGAATCGAGACTGATTTGACCACTGGATAGCTTTGATCCGGGCTTCTTCCACGCGCCAATCTTCCTGCTCATCGCATGAACTCTAGCTTTCTCCTCAACCATGCCCAAGCTTCCATAGATGTTGGCCATGAGAACGTAAGTAGCAGCCTGCTTCTCATCCAGCTTCACCAGTGCCTCAAACGCCAGCCTTCCAAATTCCAAGCTCTTCCACTTGTGACACGAGCTCAGCACGATGGTCCATGTCACCACATTCGCTGCGAAAGGCATCGAGTCCGCCATCTCCACCGCCTCCTGGAGTTTGTTTGCCCGGCCTAGCATGTCCACCATGACGTGGTAGTGCTCCATAGTCACGCTTGCAGCCTTCCGGGAGCACAGCTCCTGGAAGAGCTTCCTCCCTCTTTCAACCAGCCCGGCATGGCAGCACGCGTTCAAGACCGCCAGTGTGGTGATGCCATCCGGTTGGAAGCCTTCTTCCACCATCCTTGCAAAGAGCTCGAGGACGGCGTCGGTTTCACCGTGGCGGCTGTAGCCTGTGATGAGCGAGTTCCACGAGATTATATCCCGGGCTCTTGTTCTAGCGGAATCGAAAACCTGGTGAGCCACGACCATGCTCCCGCACTTGCCGTAGAAATCCACCACCGAGTTCGTGACAAGCCTGCCAGCCTCGAGTCCACACCGGCATATATCTGCATGGATCTTCTTTCCAAACTCGAGCGATGCAACTGTGGAGCAGGCCTTCAGCACGGCAACGAACGTCTGATCGTCGGGCTGGCAACGTTTCTCTTCAAGCCTCATCTTTGTGAAGAGCTCCAGTGCCATATCTCCCTCGTCGTTTTGAGCACAGCCGAGTATGAGCGCTGTCCATGACACCACATCGTGGCGCTTCATCCTGTCAAACACCCGGCGAGCCTGGAGGACGCTGCCGCACTTGGAGTACATATCCACCAGCGTGCTGCTCACACAGATGTCCGGCTCAAACCCGGCTTTGAAAGCTTCCCGATGAACAGCCATGCCTTTCTCCAGAGCTTTCACCTTGAGAACTTTGCCGTCCTCTTCAATGCTGTCCTCTCGCAG